CTTCCTCCGCTTTCAATGTACCGCTTGACTACGCACCATATACATATGGTCGCAGGTTGATTAGGGAACCGTCTCTAACGGTGAACTATGAAAAATCAGGAGGATTATCGTCACTGTAGACAACGATAGTTTACCTTGTTACACAAGCCACTTCAATCCCCTACCCTTTCTTATTGTCGGTTCCAACGCGGCTGTTATGGAAAATATGGGATCTGAAGAGGTAGTCGTAGTACTAAAAGGACATTTGTTTTTTAACATTTAATGCGTAGTCTGTTGCATCATTAGAACGAAAAAAATAAAATAGAAAGATGATTTACGGAGCCAGTCATTAACAGAAACACCACTCTCACGAATATTTCATCACAGCACCAACCTTTAGAGCCTTCGCACAGGAAATTAGAGGACACTGCTTATGTCCCTGTATCTCTGGCTATTTTCATTGCTTAATTTACTCGTGCATAATAGCAGATACGGAAACTATTATTTCGAAACATGAAACGGCAGACCCTCCAAACTTTTGCACTCAAGTTTTCGTTTAATTAAGGATACGCACTTTCTCGAATGAGATTTGCTCTGGAATAAAATTGGGAGGCAATTCACTCCTGCTCGCGTCATTACCTGCTTCACCCTGTCCATCAACAAAGTGGGAAATGCTGCGGTTTTTATGAATGTTAATATTCAGCTGTTCGATAGAAAACAATCAGTAGACACTAATCATGAAAGGAACTAAAACTGAAGGAAAATTTTCAAAGATGTCTTTATAGATATCTGAATGCTTGCACTAACTTCACCAGGAATGATGTCTAGAATCATTGGCGTAAACTGCATACAATTCCGTTAGCTTGAGCAATGACTTATAGGTATGCCTATTCGTAAGGAATATTTTAATTTCTACATCATATACATTCCTCTATCCTAGACGGCAATTAGACTAGAACTACCGGAAAAACTTCCTCACTATAAAAATTATCGCTGCTGCAGCAGTAGCCAATCCAAGTGCACCAGCAACCTGCTTACGGTTCTCTTCTTCTTGCTTCCGTCGCTTTTCACGCATCATCTGCTCAAATGTTGGGATAGGATACTTCGCCTGCTGCCGTTCCTAGGAAAATGAGACTGTCTCTAGTTTAAAAAATTCAAATAGTTTCAAGCCATCACAAATCAATCTAATTCGTCAAAGTCACTACATGCACACCTGGCGATCTACTTGGAAATGACTGTTTGTCATCAAACAGAAGATGTGGGCATCAAGTAGTATAAAACCTACTTGCTCTCGTTGGATTTCTCGCAAAAGCTCCTGTTCTTCTCGCTCTCGAGCCCGACTATCTTTGTGTATCGAACTCTGTAAAAAAAAAACGTGTACTGGCAATGTTAGCTGATTGTCAAAAGAACACTCTCAAATCTTTCCAAGACAACACAGTCATTCTCACAGCTGGTGGTTCATATGTGCTCTTGAATTCTCTTCTCTTTCCTCCCAGTTCCGCGTAGAACTCTTCTGGCATATCAAAACGGGAGTGGTATGTCTTCCTTTGCCTGAACTATGTGAATGAGAATGAAGCTTTTGTCAAAGCAGTGCATATCCTACAGTTATCAATGTTGCAGACCGTTAAACATTTAGATCACATTCAGAACACGCACATTCAATACTGCAACTTGCCTGTTAAGACGTTGGAAATGCTCAAAGCTTTTATAGTCTATATCCAAGTCAGTGTACTGCTTTGTTGGAGCTGACGTTGTTGTTCGACGAACATAATGACTACTGAAAAGAATGCGTAATCCGACGTAGCGCCATTAAGAATATATCGACTTCTTAAGTATGAAAAAACTCAATCGAGCTTTTGGCTTAAAAAACACTAAGTGAGAAGTAGAATATAGTGAAGTGAGTTGACATAATGGCAAGAGGAAGTTATGGTCTTTATTACGACTGCTTAGTGTTTTCCTTTTTTATAATTACTGCTACTGCTTAATCCCCAAGAAATCAGTTTCACTCCAATCAAAGTTACTACCACAGGCAGGGCGAAGCAAGGCTTTCAGTGTGATCATCAATTGAAAGAATAGGCAACTATCCAATAAAACCAACTTCAACGAACCTCAGATCAGGCGACGTTCGTATCCTTGTCATGTCATACATTTTACGCTTCTCATCTGAGCCTAAGACTTCATAAGCAAGCGATACCTTGAAACCGAAACAAAGTCTATTATTTCCTATTTTCAAATATTAAATTCTTCGGAGAAAACTGTCAACGATCGAGAGACAGAGACCAATCCAAAGAGAAATCTAAAACCTGATAACACTCCGCTGGCCCTATTGAGACAGGGAAAAAAGATTACCTGGTGGAATTTTGAAGCAGCTTCAGCTTGATTATCCCTATTTCGATCTGGATGGTACTTCTTGGACAGGCTATAGAAGGCCGCCTTGATTTCCTGAACAACTTTCCTCAACACTCCAAACACTTTTTCCTCGATTGCAAATAATACTTTCCGTACTCCACTCAGCCTTCTTTCCTTCTTCCATAAAATCGCATCCCAATCCCACTTCGATGACCGGATCGAAATCGCCTAGGCCAACCAAGCCTTCCATCCCTCCGGGGTCGGTCAATTGGTACCAGACTCGTCCGAGAGGACAAAAGCACTGACTTGTACATTGACTGGCCGGTCAAGTCGTATAGGCCACACACGCATTCAATACGCCACTACGATTCTGGATGGAAGACGAATGCGAGGATGTATCCCTCTGAAGGGATCGACTAACGCCTAGAGACTAACCTTTTTTTCCCAAACCCAATTCGAATAGTGAGACCATAACATCCGCCCAGCAAGCGTGGGACGGATAAAACATTTAATCAAAAGACAGTGATTGCAGCTTTGGCGGGAGTACCGTAGTCAAATGAAGCTTTTACTAACCACCCATAAACCCCACAATGGCCTTCCGAAAAGGATTGTGTGTAGTGAGCACGAGTACTAGAAATATATGCAGCAGCTCATTGTGTATAAAAGGAGAGAAGGGGGAAAATAGAAAAATAACTATTGTGGAACACACTGATGCTCGAGATGCTTAGCAATCCAGTGTAAACTTGGAAAACTTCTCTGAAGTACAGATCCCCGATAACACTAGGCCTCTTAACGAGAATGACTTCTTCAAGCAAATAGAAAATACCTTTGCAGAAGCTCCAGGTTTGACTCCAAGCACAGCATAGTAATCAACGACCGGTTCTGTTGCAAACTGACGACAACAGGTTGGACCTGTTGCCATCAAAACCAAGCGCCTCCGGATCATACTGTTAGAGCACTGCTGCGACTAGATTATTTCATGAATGGAGCCTAAATCAGTTTGAAGACACTACCGTAACTACAACTGGCGATTTATGATCTGCTATTTATCCATCATTTAAGAGTGCATCCATTCGATTCATTATGAAGTGAAAACACTGCAATACTTAATTGATTACCAATTCATTACGGAAAAATATGTCACACAAAATCGAAAAAAAAAGTTCATTTTCTAGAAACGTCGACATTGATAAACAGATTTCCACGAAACTTCAAAAGATTATAACAGAACACGACAAACTACCACAAACTCACTCAATTGTATCTGGAAGTTTCATGACACCTATAACAAATTTCCACAAATTCGAATCATCACGACCTTTCAACACAATAAGCTCCTAGTAAAGAATATAGTCGCTCGAGTATGGGTGTGTTGGCTTGTACGGGGAGTGTATGTCGTTTGGCGCAGCCCATCGCAACCATATTACCCTTGGGGCGCACAAGCTTCAATTGCCACCTAGGCGCTGTCTACACAGCACAATTTCTGCGTCGGAAAACTCGTCCAAACCATGTCATCTCAAGATCGCAGTGGGCTGCGCCACGCGCGAATTGGGCGGAGTGATCTAGTTTCGACGGACACGCGGAACGGACGTTCCCCTCAGAAGCTAACAGCTGCATCCACCCGATCAGCAAATCATCCTACTTATACAATCCGCTAAGCGTGTCTGTTGGTGTGTGTGTTTGCCGAACGAAAATTAATATTGCCTCCTCACTGGAACTAGAGCCTTCAAATTTTGCATGATAGCAAGCAGCATGATGTCAATACTCATGGTGGGTAGCGGGACGGGATTTCTCGCTATTCTAGCCCACAAGGGATGGTTGAGTGGAAACTGTACCTCCGTTCCCGTGGACCTGGAGCGTTCACATTCGGCTGGATTACAGGCACTAGAATGGAAAAACTCATGATGGGTGGGAGGACCAGATTTCGAACACAGGGGGCGGGGTTTGCGTGAAATGGCTGTTCTAGAGGGAATTCATAACTCCTGTCCATGTGAACCTAGAGAGTAGAGTTCAAATTAAGTAGGAGTACAGGTAAAAGGAAGGGGCACTGTTAGGAGGTAACACTACTCGACTTCTCCCATCCGGGAAGTGTGGGAAGGGAGAGTGGGTTCCGTTTCAAATTTAGCGCGAGTTCGTCAGATGTAAATGGTTTTCCATAGACTAAAATGAAGACGTGAGAAGGGTTTCATTAAAAAAGAAATACTTCTTCATCAAACTTATTCATGAAGTAAAGAAGAAAGGGTGCAGAAACACTAGCAAGTATTACTTATGTGTTCTCCCATCCGGGAAGTGTGGGAAGGGAGAGTGGGGTTCCGTTTTCAAATTTAGCGCGAGTTCGTCAGATGTAAATGGTTTTCCATAGACTAAAATGAAGACGTGAGAAGGGTTTCATTAACAAAGAAATACTTCTTCATCAAACTTAGTCATGAAGTAAAGAAGAAAGGGTGCAGAAACACTAGCAAGTATTACTTATGTGTTATAGTTCGCCATAGTTTCATAAAAGAAACGAATCTACTTTTTCTTCCCACTCGCAAGCCTCCTATTTCAGATCAAACGTTGCTGAACTTATCCAACTTTTCGACCCTTCACAACAACACGATACCTCCACACAAAGATGACTTCACCATCTTTACTTATACTCGCACTCATGAGAAACTCCTCAAACGCTAGATTTTTGAAGATACCTGTCGAATTTGATATACAGAGACGACCTAGGCCTTTACGAATAGTGGCACATGTCTCTGAAACACAGGCTGAGTTCTTCCGTCCCACAACTCAGCATGTGTAAAAACAAGGGTTCAATTAGCCGCAATAGTTACTGTAATCCTGATGCAAAAAATGATAATCAAAAAGTATACAAAGAAGAACTTGGGAAAAAAGGTGAAATTTGCCCGTGCGAAAGTTGAAACCTTGAGGCTATGACTCACCGTTAGAGCGCTATACCTATTACAGACATAACAATTAATAAGAAAGGTTCAGAGACTATAATCAAGGATCAGGCACGAGAATAAGTTCAACCTGACAAAAAATATCCGCCAACACCGTATTTGGTCCAGAACAGCTTCGCCACAGGTCAGATTCTTTATTCGTAATCACCCCAGTTCAGCTTTATGACAACAAGTAACAACGTAGGACAAACAGGATGAGATCGATGCGGTTGTAGTGTTTAAAAGAATTTCGCCCAAAAAAGCACGTTTTTCACTTCCGGCGGATAACACTGAAAAGCACTCATTTCCTTTACCCATGCCACTCATTAAATGGAAAGACAAGGACCTTGACGACTTACATATGGGTTCAGTTGGATGCAAATCGGAGGCATTAACTGATCCTAGATGTCCTGGCAATTTACAAAGTACATAGTGAGGTGAAGTATCCTCACATAAGCAAATCGATCGCTTGACCCAGCCGTAGCTCGATCATCGTCACCGGAGCAACCACATTTCCGCAAATTCTATAAGGAAAATGAAACAGTATGATAGTAGGGGCACAGGTCAAAGAAAATAAGGGAACCTTTTTAAAGTTGTGTTGGTGTCTATAAAGCGATTTCACCAGAGCTCTTGTGGTGCGAACGGTCTCACATCCCACAATTTCTGCTGAAATGAAAAGACAAAAAGAAATTTTGCAAGAGAGTTCCTGAAAGCATGAGAAGAAAAGAACGAATAGGGAGAACAGGAAAATATAAGTGCTTCAGAAAAGGTTCTGAAAATATACGAGAATCCCGAAAAGTTTTCAAACGTTCTCCTTATGAAGACAGTCAATTTGAATGTGAGTTCCAACATACACAGGCTGAGGCATAGAGCTAATAATATTGAAGTGTAGTGTTGAGATTCGTTATATCGGATCTGAAAATATTTCCAATATTTCATCCTGCTCAACCCCATACTCATTTATAATCCCGTTTACGAACATGAAGATAAAAAAACGGACCTGAGCAGTCCATACTGTTAGATAAGAAGAAGTTGCCATTCGGACTGAGCGCCAAACCGCTAACGATTCCCTTATGACCATGCATGAAATAGGAGCCTCGTCGTGTCTAACAGCCATCACTGAAAATGATGACTTAGGCTCCTTTACTAGCTCTATTTGAGTTAGAGTAGTTGTTCGTTCCACTCAAACGAACCCGATTACCCTTCACTAATTCTCTTAATCAGCCCTTCACGCTGTTTTCAATGCCTACCCAGCCGCCTAACTTGGTTTCGTTACGTTTGTCGATATTTGTAATGTTCCTTCTTTTCATATATCTCTGTTGGGAGACAAATGGAAAAGCCTTATGAAAAGCATCGCAAAACTCACATAAATGTCGCTATCGATACTCCTCACGAAAATCTCATCTGGCCTGTCATTGAATGAAAGAGCTAGTTGTTGGAATTTTCGAATGGGAAAAATGGAAATGGAAAAATGGAAAAAAGTTGAGAAAAAGCTAGTGTCACAGCACACAGGTACAAAGGTGCAGTGTAAAATAGATCGAATGGTGTGCCAAGATCGAGAAGCTTTTGAGCTCACTTTTGGGTTTTTTTACCGATATGTGCTCAAATTTTGTAAATTAATGGGGCCTCAAGAGCCCCAGAGTCACTCGTCTACTGCAACACCTTTCACTCACCGAGAAATTCCACTTCATCGTCGCAGTCGCAGTTCCGTCACGAGGCGAAGTCTGTCCTACTCGAAAAGTAGTAGTACTATTCTGAATATAAAACATTTAAACTCCTGCTTCACTTCATCGTGCTCAGTGTCTGCTGTAGATGTTGAAGCCGATTAGGATCGTACACGTTCATCGTTTTCTGGACTTCGTCGACAATAATATGTGGCTGATTTCGCAGTTTTGTCCTCTTAGTCTCATATGCTCGTGGAAAGTACATGAGCCTTTCCTAACCAAACATTTGCAACAATGACTTGTCCGATTTTCTGTCGTCAGTTTGTTCGATCTGGAAGTAAATGTTCTGATACATTATTCACATTATCATAGCATGAGTTTGTTTGCTCACTTACCCGAGTTTGACAGCTACCCTGTGACTCGTCACAAATAGTGCAGTTCCCATATCGTTTCCGTTGAATTGGACCGATGCTTTCCCCCAATAACACGACGAACACCGCTTGCTCCCTGCGTGATCGACCTCCTTCATGTTTCAGTACCAGTGCCATGAGATTACTCTTCTCTGTACGCCACACAATAGTTGCAGCAATGTGTTTGCATTTGGCGAAATATGGGCGAGATCACTTCGTGGAAGGTAGTTATCCTGAGCATAAGTGTTTCTATAGATGGAATATCGAGACTGTGGATTGAATCCTCCTGACTTTATAAGATTTAACATGTACCTCGTGCCCCGAAAACAGCAACCGACTGTGGCGATATGCCCTGAGTAGGTCCGCGAATGCATCTGAGTTGTTATCAGGAATGAGGTCAGGAATGCGAGCCCTCACGTTCAAGGAACGATAAACATTGCTGGCTGTGATCACGGTTCGTGCATCAATCTTCATTTTTTCGCCACCGCAATTCTGATACCCGCTTGCTGCGAATGAGAGTCGTCTTCCAAGGGAATAAACTTCAGCATTCGAGGAAATGGAACAGGAATTTGAAGGTCGGTGGATGAGACTGCAAAGGTAATTGTGCGACGGCTTGCTTTTGCTACAAGTTTGACTGTGTATGTCAACAACGATACCGAGGTGTGGGACGCATTTTCTACATAAGCATTTCAAAGTTGACTTTGCACTGGAATAGCCCTTCCCGTAGTTCCATAAAATCTGTTCGCCTGCCTGAAATAATGAAATATCTGCTAAATGAAAAGGATGTGAATGAAAAGTAGTGGTTTTCTCACTAATACTTTTTGTTTGGCCCTGAATAGGACTGAAAACTCCTTTTGGTGTCCTTGGAGACTCAGAATGCCATCTATCAACGTTCAGTATAAAGATTGGGGTGCCTGCTAATGCGGTTGAATATTCGACTGAGTATCACTGCACCTTTGTAGATCGGACTGTGTGCCGAGATCGAATAGCTTTTGAGCTCGTTTTTGGTTTTTTCATCGATATGTGCTGAAACTTTGAAAATTAATGGAGCATGAAGAGCCCAAGAGTACAGTGTAACGTCTTTTACTTACCAAAAAATTCTACTTCATAGTCGCCACCTAAAAAACGATCTGCCAGCTCCATTTTCAATTTCATTTCTTCTAACTCTTCCTTAATCCCAAACTAACTTTCTTCTGAAGAACATAAGGTTACATTCTCGAATCGATTATCGCGGCTCATCGACAGGGAATTGAGAGTTGTCAATGTTACCCGTACGTGATCTTTCTGGACATCCACTTTGCAAATAAATCTTTCCCATTGGGACATCGCGTACATCAAGCCACGGGAAATCCTTCAATTGGGTGTTTACTGAGCTGCACTTATCTAGCATACACAAACAGAGCCAACTTACTTGGATCAGTTGAGCTACTCGCCGTAGATTGAGATATTGTTGCTTGTATTCATCTTGGAAGTATCCTGGTCCAACTGAGAATTGCCTGCTATTGAACCCTCCCATATAGTCGAGCACATTCGCAGGGTTAGCGATCTCAGGCAAATGGCAGACATAACGTGCTCGTTTCGCTTCCTCAGCTGCTGGAATTGCGCCTTTGTGACAGTTCCTCGAGCCAACTTCCCAATTTACCTGATCTCCTCTCTTCTTGTCCTTCTTCATCCATCGTTCTCAGTGTAGTTGCTCTCGCTGATGACAAAGCCGATTGCGTAGTTGGAGACAAACGTGCCATAATGATGTCTGCGGGAGTAACTGTTTTCTCCTTTCGTAGTTTCATGACAGTCTCCTGCTCGCCACTTTACCTTTTTCTTCTGACAATTGAGTATATGGACAGCATTTCTATATTGCCTGAATAATCGTTCAAGTTGTTATCCGAAATAACGTCTTGTCTACTTTTATTGTAGACATACCTTCAGATTCACTGCCAAAACTAGTGGTGACGCACTAACGTGTGCTACTGTACTCGCTGGCGAACAACCGGAATCTTGTTCATACTGATCGGTTCTAGTAGGGACAGCTTTCCTAGCACTCTTTCGCCTTGTACGTCTGCTGTTTTCAAAGTTTTCGTCCTCATTGTCGTCACTACTCCCATCCATTAGTCCAGTGGCGTCGCCTTTGCTTCGGCTTAGTCTCATTTTTTTATTTCGACGTTTTGCTATGCATATGGGAAAACGTCTGAATTATGTTCTACAGCATCTAGAAAAGCACGGCGCAGACGAAAAAGTGGACACACCTGAAGAACTTCTTAGAGCTTCATGTCTAATAGGTTCATCGGTTGTGAATTCTTCGCCTTAATCACCTATGATATCATTATAGACCGACAAGTCCGATGGAGAATCACTTTCCATACGAAGGTCGCTGGGACCTTCAAATTCTTCCTCTTCTTCATCTGCGATGCGTCCTTGCCTCGGCAGCTGTGATACAGTACTACAAATAGTCCGGTTGAATGACACATTTTCCAACGACTGTTTTTGACTCACGCTCGAGGTTCTTTCAAAGTTTCCATCACTTCAGCTACGCGCGCCCTGATCGCCTGACTGCTGTCTTCTCAGCATAGAGCTTCAATTTAATATAGCTATATACGCAAGATAACTGGTAACGATCCACATGAATGTCTTCCCGTGCCCTTTTCGGTGTGCTGCATAAGATCGTGTAGTAAATAACTGATAAAAACTGATAAATACATGTGTTCAGATCTGAACCACAATCTTTCTTTTGATTACACTATATATCAGGAATATCTTTATCACCGAAGTTTCCTTACCCAAGCTTCCCTTACTTGAGCGCAGCCCTTTTTTGTGCTTTTCGCATTCGATACATGCCACGCCTCGTCTTTACTGAGCCAACGAAAGTTAACCCTTTGACGACAATGGCACCCACCGTTGGGTGCCACTATGACTGACGCATGGGGCATTAGCTCTCAATTTCGGGTGCCACCATACTTACTTGTTTCTCACCAGCTGCTAAATTCAGTATCGCATTAGGAAAGTTTACTCCTGGGTCAGCGCCACCCACCTGTGGGTGCCACTCGCATGCGAAAGGAGGGAAGTGTGTCCCAGGGGCGCTTCACATCGAAATTCGCGTTGTCGTCAATGGGTTATTGGAAGCAAACATTATCGACCTCTTTTTCGTGTTAAGTTGCCCTGCACCTTCCCAATTTTGGACGCTCCTGTGCAGGAGAAGAGGAATTATGAATTTCAAACCGAACACAGATACTTCGCGAGCGCCTTGCCCGTCCTGCTCAACTTATAGGTGTTTAGGTAACTTAGTCCATTCCTCTTTTCTTCAATATTTAATCGTGTCACTTGTCAGCTGCATCAGCGTTCCCACACTGCCGCCTGTGCACCTATCGAATCAGTACGATCTAGGTCCAACTTGACAATTTCCGCACACGTTTCTTTGGGTACTGTCTAGTCTTGCCACGAGCCATCAGTGTTTCCGCCCTGCCGCCGTCTGTACTTCTACCGAACTTGAACGATCTACGACCACGGGATGAGTAGTTACGAGTTTACAGTCAAAGATACACCGAAATACACACGGTTTTACAGGCCTATATCGCTCCTTTATTTTTCTTCTCGAAAAAAAGGAAAAGTGAGTGGCTACACCATATCGAATAGTACAAATCGAAACTGGTCAAAATCGGTTGTTATTATCGATCGCTGCGTTTACAGCTATTCACTCAGTATCTGTTCAAACTCCTCGGAGTTGGAATACTGCACCATTCAAAGGAACAAATTGGATACTGATCAGTCATTTACACAACGGTTATAAATATTAGGTTAGAAGATAAGTCCTGCAACACTTTAAATATGTTCCTCCAGGAAAAAACCAAGACCTCTTTCAAATGTTCTCGCGCCTGATTACTGTAGCTATCCTGAAGGATTGCAAATACGGATATAGAAGGGCTTCGTGAAAAGTCCTGGGCCTTAGACTCCATAATGGATCAAGCTATGATTCGACCTATAGTCCACTACGAATTCCTGCAGGGACACTCAGCGAGAGCCGTTGCGGCTAATATCTGCGCTGCCTTCAAGAAGGACGTTGTCTACTACTCGATGGTGCCTCAATAGTTTAAGCGCTTCGCTGCCGGAGAAATTTCATTCGAGGACAGACAATGTAGTGGTCGCTCATCGGAGTGGAAGGTTGAACGTTTACTCAGCGCCCTTCAGATGCAGCCGAATGCGACTAGCCACGAATTGGCGACTACAGTAGGATGCACCCATACAATTGTTGAGCATCTCCACGGGCTTGGCAGGTCAATATTCTCAAGATGGGTTCCTCATGAACTAGCTTGTCTGACAAGACGAACAGGATGCACGTGGCTGGGTCGGACTTGTTGCGAGACATAGTAACCGGAGATGGAACTGGGTGCTTTATGTGAACCATACGCGTAAGCGTCTATGACTTGCGCGAAAAGGGAGGCCACGTGCGGAGCCTAAAGCAGACCTCCACGAGATGGTTTTATCGTGTTGCTGGTAGGATTGCGGTGGAACGACGTAATGAGAGCTACGCCCGAAAAGACTCAACGTCTTCCTGTTTCACGATAATACACGCCCGCATGTGGCCAACGAAGCGCGTCAAAAAATTATGGAACTCGGACGAGAAGTATTGCCGCGTTCGGCCTACTCATTAGATCTAGTGCCATCTGACTATCAACATCACCAATTCCGAGCAGCGCTCATGAAGAGCCATCTCAGCGTCGAAAAATTTAATGATCGTCGTGAACTCGAAAATGAAATCGGCCACATTTTTCATCACATCCACCGGAATTCTGAGAGAGAGAGACCGAGAAGCTGTCCGAAAGATGGGCACGTGTCCTAGATAATATGGTGATTATATTATAAATTGAAGGTTTCGTTTGATAAAGAAATACAAAATTCAAAATCTTGCCTAAAGTGTTGCAGACTTATCTTCCAACCTAATAGTAAGGACGAACTGGTATGTCGGCCAACACTCCGACAGCGTAAATCCACCGCACGTAAATAATTGACGGTGTCTAACGTGGAAAGCTTCTGAACAGGATTGCCTGCTTCGAATTCTACACACTAGACGTAGTCTAGTCCTACCGCCTGTATCCCTTCTTAATTTGAAGGCCCTAACTCCAAAGGAATAATTTTTGCGCATGCCGCACCCCTAGCAGGCAGAATTTACACCTGGTTCATGCCATTGTAATCGCTCACGCCGCCTGCCTCCCTTCGAAATCTGAACTCTGAGGCGATTTTCGTGCACGCCCTACCCCTAGCGGGCGAACTCTATTCCTGCACCTACTCTCAAAGTTCCCATCCTGCCTCCTGTATTCCCACCAAATATGAACGCCCTAGGTACACAGGAACAAGGATTAAGCTCTTTTGTTTAAATCACTCTCATCACACCCCACAACCTCCGTGGTCAGATCATGTGTTCCTGAGTAGCTCTACTCATTCTCCACTTGTTTCAATCTGGACAATCTGTTTCACTTCGACAAAAGCGTAGATACCATATAAGGTGGTGATAAGCACATCAAGAGACAGACAGTCTGACAGACACGCGGATATTTATGGTTTATATTAAGTAGCCGTTGGATACCGTTCGAAACTTTCTCTACAAACTCTAACTCTTTTGTGTTCTAAAATGATATAGAACATTCATGAATAATTGACTCTAGCACGGCCCACCGTGGAGCAAACCTCGCCCACTTTGAAAATTTGACCACATTTGTTCAGTAGCCTCCGGTCATTTTTTCCCACATTGAAAACCTTTTTTACAGAGTGAAAAATTTTTGATATTGGCTTCACCCACCTTAGCGCAGATCCCGCTTAATTGAAGGTTTGACTACATTTGTTCAGCAGCCTCTGGCCACTTTTTCCGCTCCAGAACGTTTTCGTTAGAGTTATCAACTAGTCGGAATTTTTGACCTTAGCCCTGCCCACCTCATTGCAAATCCCGCCCACTTTAGAGTTTTGACCACTCATCATCATAATCTTCAACCACTTTTTCCCGCGCTGTAAGACGTTTTTGAACAGTGTTATGAATTTTTGACCTCAGCCCCACCCACTTTAAGACAAACTCCGCCCACATTGGACGATTGACCGCGTATCTTCTATAACCTCCAACCACCTTTTTCCGTGTTTCAATGTATTTAAACAAGATTATATTTTTTTAAAAAGTATTTTTTATTTGCATGCGCGCCTCGCCCATAGTAGGCGGAGCTTGGCTAAGGTTGCGCATGCTCAACACATATTAGGTCTTTGCCACTCCCTTTATTTTTTCTGGCCTCCACGCCTTTGTCGAATCGAGTTATGAACTCGTTTGAAAAATACCGCCCATTCTGAGTACGCTCCGCCCACAGCAGGTGGATCTCTTCCGTCTGGCCAGTTGGCCCTATTCTCACGTTTGTGTATTTTTCCCCGGCGCTTGGACCTTTTCGAAGCCAAAATAAGACGTTCGTCTATTCGTACCGCCCATTCCGGCACTTGCCCCGCCCCCTGTGGGCAGAGCTCCGCAGAGCTCGCAAGTGCTCTGTTAATCTTGTTCCAAGCCCCACCCATCCTTAACTTGTCCCGGGTTTATATATAGTAAGGATTATCCCTCACAGATGATGAGTGAGGTACAGTAGCGTTTCAAGCTGCGTTCCGAATAAAAAGTATTGACATAATAAAAAAAAATGAAACCTGGATCAGTGTCTGAAAATGGTAAATGGTAAACAAATCAAATTTAAAGTAGTTCATCGACGCGGGACGTCTGTACCACACCGGGACTACATCTGGGACTACTGGAGCAATTGCTAGAAGCCGCTCAAGGAATGATGAGCTTTAGGTGCCACAGATGAATTAGGGGGTTTACTGTTCAAATAGCACCATATCACTTATGGATTATGATGTACAATTCGTATATTCGTGTTATGCGTGTCCTGTATAGAACAGCAACCAATGTAGTAGAGGACACAATAGCAAAACAGCAATAACGAGCGCAACTGATTTTCTGTTATAAATTTTTCTGTGTACTGAGGATACCTGAAGGGACAATGGCATTACTCTTTCACACATGACTTTCTTTGGAATTTATCCAGCGAGTGTTCCTAGTTTTTTGACGACCACTTCAACATCAAAACTGGGTGTACTTGAACATGACCATGTGAGGAGTAAGTTTTACCTGCGTCCTGATCCGCATATAACAGTATTAGGCGTAATTATCACTGTAGACTTTCACAATTGTTAAAAATATGTGGTTGTCCCGAAATAGCGAGGCGTGCAGACATCAAAACAAAAACGTCATCGGATGTTATGCCGCCTAAAACACCGTAGTTCGTAATAAATTTACATTTGAGTGTACTCAATAGAGGAAATAACACTCTTGGCTTTCGTCGAAATCTTGAGTGAGAAACCAACACATCGTCACTGGTGCGCCCGTTACAAGTGTATGAGGCCACAGGCTTATAGAGGCTTAATTCGCTTGATAGAGAGCAGCCTTAAACATTGCGATATAAACTAACGTGAATACCCACTAAAGGAATAGCTACTAGCAGGAACGTTTGTGGTAATCGTAGATCGTTTTTGGACCCGAAGTATAGTAGAAGATGATTCCCAAGGGAGAAATAGATTCGCACAAGTTATAAAGCAACTGTGAGTTAACGATATGTTAAGAGAAGGACATTACACCGCATTCAGTGAGCCATCACATTTATTCCCTCACTGACGTTTTTAGTTGGATACCAGGATACCAGATAAAGGCTACGGGATGCAAGCGCCTGTTTTTTATTACTGGGATCAATCTTTACAATCTGTTAAATGCGAAAAAGAATAGCGCCTGTTTTCCATCCTCGAAGCACTTTGAAAAATCCAGAATAGTACCCGAACACTAAAAGTGTACGTGGGCAGATGTGGTAATAGACTTTTCTAATGAGTGTTTGAATTCCCACCTTTATCAGAGCTGAATAGTGACCGATTCCCATCAAAAGACTGAGCAGTGTCTCCGGTTTTTTGAACTTTGTTGTCAATTTGCATTTTGTGTATGTTACCAAAACAATTACTCGGTTGAACTTGATTTAGGATGACGATGATATCGGCAACTTTTTGAAGAGATATTACCTCGACACTTTAGTGTAGAAACAAATGGAATGAATACTTTTATCTGCCACGTCCCACTTTCCAGCTAACATATTCCCAAATCAGTTCCTGGATATACTTACAAGGTAATATAGCCTCGAGGGTCGATAATTCCTCATATATAGCCCAAATCTGTGGGAATAGTTATGCAGGGTGTAACAAATATGGGCGCCCAAATTTAGAAACTTCTCGGGTGGAAATGTTTTATTTCATCCCATTCGCTACTAATTAGATGCACAAACTAGTTTTCTTACGACATGCACAGTTACTGAAGTGAGGCTTCCGATATCCTTTGCACGGGGGAGGCTTATTCAATGCCATTTGCAATCGTTCGCTATGCAAGATGAGAAAGGGTATAGTGACTTCAATAATAACCGCAAAGAAGGTAATTGAACAATACAGAGAAGCAGGATCAATCAATGACAATGTCGGGAGGGTGGAGAGGCCAGCGTTTTCAATTATTGGGCTATTAACACGTTGGCGGCCATGCGTCCCGATGCCAGGACGCACGTTTGGCTCGCTGGGGTATCTATATTATTTGTCAAGTGTTCCTAATTTTTCCATGTTTTCATGCGTCAGCTGAGCTCACAGACTTCTAGAGAATCTTGAACCATTGCGGTCCAGGAATAATTCATTTCTTATTACTACAGATATAAGAGAACATAAAGGGTAATTAAGGACAATATAGAAGCGCTGTCGCCAAAGGGCTAAAGTATTCCGTTTGCGAGTCAATCTTGACCCGGGGTGATCAATCAAAAGGATAGCAAAATAGTATACCTCATTGAAGTTGCCGAGGTGAAGAGTGCCAAGCAAAAGTTTCTTTTCCATTCCTCTCGTATGCAGAAATGCTATTTCATCGTAGAAGAACATGCAGAATGTTGCTAATTCACTTAAGCGGACACACGCACCCCCTTACCGTCGCCTTCTTTGAAGAAAAAATTCTGTTACAAAAACAATATTCAACGAATAGAACTATCGTTGTGGGCAGAAACGTCGAAAATGCGATCCCCCACGAAAAAGATGCTATAGGGAAAGTAATATGATGTTCAATGAGGAAGTCATTGGCAATGATGAGACGCGATGGTTTCGCCGGCATTGGCTTGGCAATTAACAGACGTGTACTTATGCAAAGAGCGTATTGACGTACGTAGCATTGATCTACCTCCGCTCCCTATGGCTATTTCAGCAGGAAAATACTCCAATCCACAGAGCCAAGCTTGTCCAAGGGTGGTGTCGAAGCCAACTGTCCAACTTCATAAGCATAGAGGCATGTCCCTTCTGCTCTCCTGGTATCAAACACTTGGACTCCTCCGTATGATTCTTGATTGAAAAAGAACTAGATGAGTTGCACTCCTAGTTTGGAGTTCTTAAAACCAAGGCTGGAAAATGGCTGAGGATGAATGGAGCAGGGTTACCTGCGGGCAACTTGCAAGGAGATCGGGAAGAGACCTTGGCTCTTTCTATGCTAACGGAGGATATTTTGAAATGTGCTCGGCTTGTTGTTGTACATAACGTATGCAAACGTGTATAGAAAATCCATTGTCATTCTCAGCTTATAAGCTTCAAATTCATTGCGATGAATAGGCGCCCATTTTTGGGACACCCTGTAGAATCAGCATCTAAAAGGCCCTCAATAGGAAATTAGAAACTAAGAAGTGATCATTTTTCATATAGAAGAAGCCGAGACGTCTTTCACACAGAAGTGGACATTGGTAATCTGCGGTGATTTCAACAGAGATCTTTCATAACAAATTAGAGGGTGACCTGAATAATTAATTGTTCATACATGTGACAGCATATTTCAATGCCAACGCATGTCACCGGATAAATAATAGCGCGCAATACTGTACCCCATGTCGAGTTAACGTATCCACAATGAAATTAGGGGAGGAAATTTGGGTATCACAACGCAAGCTTCTACCGCACCATTCAACGACCATGTTTTTCTCCATGCAGTGCCTACAACTTCTGCATCTGGACAATCTTGGCTCGACAATCTTAAGGAAAATGGAGCATCTATGTATCGTAGACTGGCAAAGAGTCGGTTTCGGTACGCTTTTAGGATTTTCCTATTATGGCTTAGAACTAATCGCCTATTATCGGTATTGATTACAGTATAAAAAAACTGGGCTTTACTTGTGTACAGATCCGATTAGTTTCGGAATCTCTGGTGGCTACGTATGGTCGGGGAGGTATTGAAGTGCCGCGTGTTGATTACTCTGATTAGGTCCGCTTACTATCTGCGCCTGGTGAATCGACCAAATGCGGCAGGGACTGCTAGAGTTGAGAAATTCTAGAGGAATTTCCTACTCTCTGAAAGGGTTGTGATTCCACTTGAGCCATGGCCTGTGAGGCTGGTGTTTGTGATCAAGCCCGTATATTGTTGTGACTGATCTCTTTTTGTGTGGGACGTGGGATACATGTCAGTGAGTAGGTCAGTGATCTGCACTAGGAAGAGGAGGGCGGGAAACAGACCGCATAAAAGGGGGGGCAGGAGATGGAGTTGTATTCTGAGTTTTTTTGAGTGACCGTCCCCCACGTCCCTCCTCTACCTTTCCCCCCCCCCCCCCC